GCCGTCACATGAATAGCCATATGCACACTCATGTTCATTGTAGCATTATTCACAATAGCAAAAGGATGGAAACAACCTAGATGCCCATCAACAGATGAATGGATAAACAAACTATGGTACATACACACAATAGAGTATTATGCAACAATAAAGAACAACAATGAATCTGTGAAGCATCGCATAACATGGATCAAACTGGAGGACATTATGCTGAGTTAAATAAGTCAGTCACAAAAGGACAAATATTGTATGAGCACTCTAATGTAAAAACTCATGAAAAAGTTTACACACAAAAAGAAACAATCTCTGTTAGTTACGAGGGATAGGACGGGTAGGGGGGAACTAGATAGACAATAGATAAGTGGTAATTTTGGTGAAGGATAAGACAGTACACAATACTGTGGAAACCAGCACAACTTGTATAAGGAAAGGTCATGGAAGCTCCATAGACACATTCAAACTCCCTGAGGGACTGAATTGCTGGGATGAGGACTGTGGGGACCACGATCTCAGGGAATATCTAGCTCAACTGGCATAACACATTTTATAAAGACAGTGTTCTACATTCTACCTTGGGGAGCAGCATCTGGGGTCTTAAAAGCCTGTGAGCAGCTATCTAAGATACTCCACTGGTCTCACCCCTTCGGAAGCAAAGGAAAATGAAGAAAACAAGATACTTGGAAAACATTAGTCCAAAGGGCAATAGACCACAACTACCATGGAGTCCACCAGACTGAGTCCAGTACAACTAGTGGTGCCTGGCTACCACCACTGACTGCTCTGACAAGGATCACAACAGATGGTCCTGACAGAGCTGGAGAAAAACGTAGAACAAAATTCTACAAAACTCACAAAAAGAAATCAGACTTACTGGCCTGACAGAGACTGCAGAAACCCCGAGGGTATGGCCCCATGACATTCTTTCATCTCAGTAACAAAGTCACTCCCGAGGCTCACCGTTCAGCCAAAGATTAGACAGCCCCGTAAAACAAAACGAGACTAATGGGCACAACTGTCCAGGGACGAGGACTAGAGGGCAGAAGGGGACAGGAAAGCTGGTGATAGGGATCCCAAGGTTGAGTAAGGATAGTGTTGATGTGCGGTGAGGTTGTTAACCATTGTCATAGGGCAACGTGTGTACAAACTGTTTAATGAGAAACTATTTTGTTCTGTAAACATTCATCTAAAGTGAGAATAGCAGCACAATTGTAAGAGCGTAGTCGATGTCACTGAGGTGTGCATGTAGAAATTTTTGAAATGGTGTATCTTTGGCTATGTATACGTTCATCAAAAAAACAAAAAGGTCGAGAAGGGAGAGTGTTGACATGTCTTGGGGTTGTTAACCATTGTCATAAAACAATATGTGTACTAACTGTTTAATGACAAACTGTTTGTAAACCTTCATCTAAAGTACAATAAAAACTAAGAAAGAATGAAAATAAAAATAAGAGTATGAAATTTTATAATTTTAACATGGCCTGAGATTAAGTAGCTTGTGATGAGATGGGAATATTTAACTGTATGGCTGAGCAAGCTCTTTATCCCCCTCAAATGGTACAGAATATGAGAACAACTTATCAAAGCATCTTTAAAGGGAAAATCTGTATGATATATTTAGAAATCTACTTTGTCCTTTCAGTAGGAACTCAACATCTCCTAAATTCTGGAGGTGTGTGATGAGATAAACTGACTTCAAAATAGCCCAAGTGTGAGGATTTCCTGTTCAAACATTAACTAACACATTGATGAGCCATCTACTTTTTCCACTCTGCCTCAGTCTGAGCCCTCACAGGACAGTCTGTGAAGAGCACAGATATTGTTTGTTCTTGAACTGGATTAATGGCTTTAGATTTCTCCTGAATCAGCTCGATTGCGATGGGTTTTTCTGGTATTTGGTTTCCTATAATCCAGCTGTAGCAGGCCGCTCTAGGACGTCGTCCAGGCCTCCCCACTAAAGGATGCATGGCTTTGTGACCCACGGAAGGTACGTACCACTGCTCTCCTCTCTGTGTTCTAGCCCAGCTCATTCAGTGGGAGATTATAAATGCTGTACATGATACACTGAGGGACTGTTAATATATAGTCGAATCAAAGATGAACAATGGAGTCTTTATTTGAATAAGTCAGGGTAAAGAGCAAACATCAAATATGTTTGAAAATTTCTTAAGTTATTCAAATTACTGTCCTTGGAGAATTACTCAAGTGGAGAATTACTCAAGTGCACACATACATTCACACACACACAGTTGGGTTTATTAACATCATTTAAAATGAAATTCCGTAAGTATCATGACAATGAACAATTAATTTGGATTTTTTAATTGGTCTAATTTGTGTTTGAATAATAATATTTTATTTTGAGCCCAGTCTTTAGAACTATATTTTTAAAAAGAAACTAATTGAATGATGCAAGTTCAGACGTAATTCCTCATCCACTTAGATTAAATTCATTCAGTTTTATTTTCAAGTAAAAGCAGGATGAGACAGCTTCCCTAAAATGGTAATCTGAACGTAATAATTAACGACAAAAGGTTTTTAAAAATTTAAGAAACATTTTTGAAAATGAACCACACTGATAGAAGAGAATCGTATCCAATGAATTATTTTACAATTTCTAACTGAGATAGATCAGAAACAACACGGCCTTTGTGACTAAAATAATAATTAAAAAGGCAAACATCTACTGAGAACTTCTAAGTGCCAGGTTGAGTGTTAAGTGTATTACATCGATTATTTTTATATAGTATCATTTCTATTTTTTTTTTTTTTTTTGCCAAACTGGGAAATTCTAAAGGTCAAACATTGTAGGTTTAAAAACTGAAATTTAATTCTAAATATCATTTACTCTGGAGCTCACTGGCTAAATTAAATTACATGAACTGAATTATTGTAATTAATTCCCCAACTAAAGCGACCGTCATTGACCTTGACAAACGTAGGATCATTCTGGACATTTAAATCAAGGGTGTTGTTACAGAAATGGTCTACATTTTCATTCATCATCTTATTATCTCCTAATCTAGCCATTAAATATTGACAGTATCTTCCATAAAAGAATTGTGTTTAAAATTTTTTTTTTTTTCTTTGTGGTGCTTTCAGTATTTTTAGTCTGTGCGTAAGTTAAGTGTGTTAGGTAACGCGTTCCAATATGTAAAATTTTTCCTTAAATTCTTGGTGATCTCAGAGCTGCCCACCTATCCACGGACAAGAAAAAGACCTAGGATAACACTTCATCTCCTTTAAGTAAATACATGTGTATCACTAATCAAAGGAATTTAGAGGAACAAATCAATATATATGCTAACTTTTCCATCCCCTCATTTTTGGATTACTTAGTCTTTAATCATTATCACATTTTAAATTTTCATAAAAATTGATGCTTTTTTTTTTCCAAATACAGAATTTTTTAATTTTAACACAGGTAATGTCATGATTTTTATGATATTTCCATGGACTCTGACTTTAAATAAATAATGATATTTTAATTTATGAACTTCTTTATCCTCAAAAATATATTGCTTTCCATTACTCCAGCAAATAATATTTTGTTAAATGCAGGATAGCTAAAAAAAAAAAAAAAA